TTAATAAAATGAGACTGTAATGAACATGCTAATTCTGATCACAGGGTACTGCGCAATGGTGGAGAGCATTGACTGCCTTCTCCCTGAAAGATTGTAAAAGTTGTTTTTTTTTTAACAACTGCTATAATGGCTTACATTTTTTGAAACCAACATATTATGCAAACACTTCTCTCCATTTCCCAACGAAATGCCTTCTCTGTCTCATCCAACTGCTCACTGTGTGTTTTACTATCTCAGTTACAGTCACCTTCAGGGAGCATATTTTTTCCATCTTGCAAAAACTGGCTTCTGAAATAGGCATGTCACTGAATCATAGGAAGCTAGAGAGAAATCTCAGTGATCCCAGTCCAGTGTCTTTGCTTTCTCTGTGCATGTGAAGATAAAAAAAAATAATAAAAAATGAAGAAGAAGAAGAACAGGGAAGAAGGGAAGTTAACACATTGGCTCAAGATGCCGCAGCTATTTTGGGGCAGAGCCAGAGTTAGAACTCAAATTACCTGACCGAGACTTGGGAACTTTGTATATTGTCTTATATCTTGATGGTGACCATTCATAAATTAGGATGCATTTGTGTGGAGTACACATAAGTGTCATTTCATAAAATACATCTGCAAAACTAGGTAATTAAATTGTCTCATATTTGCTTATCTTTTTAGGCAATAATTTTACTTTATACGTTCTATGAAAAAGTTAGTTCCCTGTAAGTAGGTAAGAGAAACAGTGTTATTATACATTATACCCTGTTTTGTTGTGGTAGTGCTGGTGGTGTTTTGGGGGCAATGCTATTCGGGAATGGGCAAGTCTCCAAAAATAATCTGCTAAGCTTAAAAAAATAATGTATTACATGCTGTTTGGGATGACAATAATACGTGTATTTTCTGAATACTGTTTGAAAAATATCTAAATTCAAGAAACATGACATATAGTCAGACAAGTAGATGCAAAATTAAGTAATATCTCACTTTCCCTTCCCAGTAACTGGTAGCATGTAACTGAGAGAACATTTTCATCCCCAGTTATCGTTATGTAAATTTATACTACAAGACTTCCCCCTGACAAACTTTGGTCAGTAAGAAATTATGATCAGTGGGGCGCCTGGGTGGCTCAGTCATTAAGTGTCTGCCTTTGGCTCAGGTCATGATCCCAGGAATCTGAGATTAAGCCCCTCAATGGGCTCCCTGCCCCTCAGGGAGTCTGCTTCTTCCTCTCCCACTCCCCCTGCTTGTATTCCCTCTCTCACTGTCTCTCTCTCTGTTGAATAAATAAATAAAATCTTTAAAAAAAAAAAAAAAAGAAATGATGACCAGTGAACCAAAGACTCAGAAAGAACTAAATCCATCTGGATAATGATCCTCTTCTTAGAGCACCCTCTCCGGTCGTACTTGTGCCCTTGAAAGCCTCATTTGTAATCTAAAAACCTCCCAATTCTACAATTAGGCAAGTCTCAACCCTTAATAACCTCTCAGTGACATCTGAAGCCTTCACTTAAAGTTCTGCTCAAGAGGGAAAACGTGTACGACAGATACACACATCAGCATCCTCAAGTACTGCAGAACAAGGGAGCCGGTTTTTGTTTGTGTTTCCACAGGCAGGGCAGCCAAAAAAATTAAAATATGACCTAGGGGCCATACTGCATTCAACTCCCCATTCTCTTACTACTTCTTCTATGAACTATGGTGCGCAGTGTATAAGTGGTAATTGCCTAAATATCTCATTCCAGGGCATGTTCAGCCTGGGCTTGTAGTTATCCTTCCTTATGAAAACAGTTTTTCAGAGCGAGGGTAATTTGAAGCTAGCTACGGAGGGAAGGTTTCCCCTGAAATACTCCCTTTAATGCACATGGGTGGTCAGAGTATTATTTCACTGTCTTCTGCATTAGCCACACAGTTCAGATGTTTAAATCTCCAATTAATTAGGTTCTCTAGTAGCCTGTATGAAATAAATTAGTGATCTCCATCCAGTCCACTTAGACAAAACCCATCATGACGGTTGGCACATTTTTGGCATTGTCAGCAAAGTAGGGAAAAAGTAAATGAGCCATGTGGACGAAATGGGCATCTGATGAGGGCTACTGACTGAAAGTGTACAGCAGCTTCAGCCAATGGCAGAGCACAGAGCTTGAGTATCTGCCAAGGTGATCTGCAAGAGCAAATGAACTTAAGTGGGCACATAGCTCACCAAGTGTAGTATGAAACTCTTCACATTCATTTTAATTAACTGTGCACCATGTTCATATTCTATGAATGTGATTCTACTATTGGAATATGTTGTCAAGACTATTATTAATAGAATTATAAATAGTTATTTAGAAATTTTAAATCAGGAGGTAACCCTAGGGAACAAAGATAATTCCCAACCCGTTTATTTCATCCCACAGGGATATATGAAAACTATTCTAAGTTATGTTTAGACTACTTTTCCATTATCCAAAATACCTTTGAGTTTTTCTCATGAAACATTTCCAAAATTGCTAAACATAGTCTTTAAAAAAAAGGTTTAACTACCTTTACTAGAATCATAAATTTTCATACAAATGTACTTACATATGACAGCTATTCACACAGAAAGCCAAGATATTAAAATTCTCACATGTATTTGTTTTATAGGAGAGCTTGTTGAATAAAAGTAGATAAAATGGGGGGCCCTAATCAACTGGGAGGCAGGAAAACATAAATCCATGTGAAAGTCTAAGTAAAATGATATTTTCCTCCCAAGTTTTTGCTAATCTCTTCATCAATGTATAAAGATTAAATCAAGCCAAACAACTTGTCACTGTTTCCTTTTAAGGGGTGAATTCAAGGAAGTCAGAAGGTAAAGAAAAAAAGACAAAAGTTTTTGGTAAATTTTACTTTATTGTACCTTTGTATTATACTTTCTACATAACAGCATTAGTTCTAAACTAGGGGAAGGTATAAAGATTAAAATTTTAAAAGAAGATCAACAAATGAGTCTGAGTTTGTTTCAGATGTGAACACCTGAAGAAATTATTCTACAATTTCAGATCTGCTAAGTTTATGTGAACACATATATGTATATATATATATATATATATATGTACATATATTTTGAAGTACATGTTAGAGTCTTTATAAACATAGTCACTAAGACCCCTTCCAGTTCTAAAATCTGACTTCTAACTCCCATTTGCTCTTTTTCGCCCTATCTTATTCTTGCCTGAGAGATTTTAGTCTCTCCGTTACCTTTACAAATCTTCATTTTTTAAAGATTTTATTCATTTATTTGACAGAGAGAGAGTGAGAGAACACAAGCAGGGGGAGCAGCAGAGGGAAAAGGAGAAGCAGGCCCCCTGCCGAGCATGGCTGCCTCTTCCACATTCTGTGAGGGTCATTGTATCTGACCAGTTTTTATGTTTGCTTCTAGGTCCTGAGTATTGCACTATAGAAGTAGTGCTAGAATTCTCACCTTTATGCAGAAAGCTTATCTAGCTCTTCTTACTTTCATTTTGTTTTATATAGGCCTATGTGCTGCTGTAGAGCTAAAACTCCAGCCCTAAAGCATATAGCCCTTTTGGTTATTATCTTGGGTTATGAGATTTTAAATTGTCCCTTCTCTGGAGAGTCTCTCTTTGTTTTTCACACCTGGAAACTTCTTTCTTGTTTGCAAGCCTAATCATGCATTCAGTTTTATTTTCAGATATTTTATCAACATCTCAATGTGTTTATAGGAGGATGAGAACTTTGTGTATAAATGTAACTTCTCATAATGGACAGAAATGTAGCTCAAATCTGACTTGCTTGTTTTTAAGCATCATTCTGTTACATGCATTTAAAAGATCTATAACCAGTTGGTCAGTATTTCTCCTGAGACTTAGTAAGATATTTACAATATTTGAAACATATTTTAAGATGTGTAAGTAAATAATCTCATTTTCTAGGCTTTTTGGATTAACTAATTGATTTTGGTAATCAAAGATTACCAAAGATCTAGAAGGAAATATTTTTGATTTTATAAAACATACAAAGTAAATACATGCCACAATGGGAAAAAATGGAGTGGAGAACAAATGTTCTTAATCCATGTTATATTCCTCTGTGGTAATGCAATTTTGATCCCTTTTTTCCACTTCCCTTAATCTTAAGAAAGTCTATTCTGATAAGTGGTGGAATCAAGCAAAATGAAGTTCAAAGCAAAACACAACGAACAAACAAAAGTGTGTGTGACAGAGAAAGACATAAAGGCACAGAAGTGTTAGTCTGGAGTGTCAAGTACTAGGTAAGCCAATTAGGACAATATCCTTATCTCTTCACAAAATGTTGATGCAGAGATACAAAACAGAGTATTATTAACCACTAGCCTTTATTCTCTAGTACTGCCATTCTAAAGAAAGTCTAGAAAGCAGACCCACTGTACTGGAGATCTGGCAAGTCATCTCATACTTTGGTGAAACTGTATATGCCACATAGCAGGAAACACAGCAGGGGGCTGTTTCCACTCACTTTGCATTAACAGATGTTAGTTCAAGAAATATAAAGGAGTGAAATAAAAACATATTTTTTGACATAAAGATGTAAGGTACCTTTGTTTTTCTCAATTCCTCCATTTATGAGGAACTCATCTTTAGGTAGAAGATGTTCCTTTAATTTTGCAAACATCAGTATCAACTGTGGTAATCTGTAAAAAGTAGTGGCCAACTTTGGTACAAACAACCTTGTGTATGCAAGCAATGTTAACAAGAAAAGACTAGCATGTCCTGTTTCCTTTCTAAGTACTCTATCAAAAATCATAATGGTATTTGGCATTGGAAATTAGTACTTCTCTGAGATTTTCTTTTCTCTCCCTGGATAGCATTCTTCAGGACCCATGAGAAAAGGCACCCACTCTTTGTTTAAAAGTTTCACCCTTATAAACATTGTATTTAAATTCATTTCCCATTTAAGTGTCATGACAACTCTAATCTTTTTAGTGGTCCTACAAAAGAACACCAGGGATAGAGAATTTCAACAATGATACAAGCAACAACCTTGTACTTGAGTACTTACCACGCAAAACTGTGAGTCTGGTGGATACACTTATTTCTCCCACATTATTCGAGGCCACACATTCATAAATGGCCTCATCCCGTGGAGTCCGTAAGGGTTGTATTCTGAGAACTGATCCAGATCCATCGTCAAACTCTATTACCTATTAGAGGAAACAATAGCTGTCACAGGTGTTGTTACAATTGTCTACCTCTCAGCTAAACCTTAATACAGTGGTGAACCAGTCTTTTGGCTCAAAATAAACACAGCAGCATTTTAAGACTGAATCTTGATACATAGTAGTAAAACAGAATAACTGGTTTAATTTAATGAATCTTCTCCTGAACAAAAGGAAAGACATGTAACTACAAACACAAAGTCTACTGGGGACCATCCATGATCTACTCATGAAAATATTCTAGTATGTGTATCTAGACAATTTGACCCTGTTAATTTTGCAAGAGACTTGTTGCTATGATGGATAACCTTCTCAAATTATTCTCTCACAGCATGTATGCATATGTGGATCTAAATAATTGGAATATAAGGTGAAGACATAATGCATACCACCACAGACAACTCTTCTGGCTTAAAGTGTTTCATCCTGAACAGTATAGATGAGCAAACCATGAAAAGAAACTGCATAAATCTAATACTTAGGCAGCCAACGAGATGGCTTTCACAACCCAAGAGACTGATGGCATACATTAATTTTGCTATAAATCATTCCAGTATTTGTTCTAGCTTAGCCTTTTCTGCATTTTTAGGGCATTTTTGCTGTAAAACGGAGGCTTGCTTCACCGGGCAGAAAATTAATGTCCTAAAGAGTAAGCCTGAATTCACTATCATTATGGACTCTACTCTGAAGCAGTTTAGCAATCCTAGATATTTGTCAGCTAATTCATGTACTGCTTCAAAAAATGATAATGATGATGATGATGATGATGAAATTGACAAATATGGGTACGAAACTGAGGAGTCCTCAACTTGTCTTTTCTATAACTATACTGTGTTCTTTCAGCTGCTCACTGAGGTGCTGTGCTTTCTGGTTTTGGTGAGGTATTTTTTGCATTTCCCTGTGACTAATAGTTCCACGTGCCTAAATTATGAATTGAGAATGCCTTGTAAACACATTTATTGGGATGCTAAATATCCTGTTTTGTGTGTAAACATGCTTATATCAACATATGGAAGAAAGATCGAATGTTTTTTTAAATATATCCACTTCAGGTCCTTTCTGCATTCTGTTTATGTTTTAAATTCACAGAGACAGCCAAAATGCCCTACTTCCCAATGCACCACAATTTATTTTCAACTCTATTAAGCATATATTTTAGAGTGAATCCACTATGCATCATGGGAGAAAAAGTTTCATAGTTACTAGAATCTTTGACAAGTACGCCATAATTGAATATATATATAAATATATTTATAAACATCTCTATATATTTTAAACATTTAATTTATAAACATCATTTATATATATTTATAAACATAAATATATATATTTATAAACATATTTATAAATATATATATTTATAAACATCTCATGGCTTAATGTAGAGAAAGGTTTAAATATCCTTAATGCCAATTTAAATTTTGATTTTTTCCAATTTTATTGAGAAATAATTGGCAAACATCACTGTATAAAGTTTAAGGCATATAATGTGATGGTTTGATTTACCTGTATTCTGCAATGACTACTACAGTAGGTTTAATTAACATCCATCATCTCATATAGGTACAATAAAAAGAAAAGAAAACAATTTTTCTTCCTGTGATGAGAAGGCTTATAACCTATCTCTTAACAACTAACTGTTATGTGTCACTGTATGTTTACATTTCTGAACTATTTCCTAGAGTTAAACCTATCATCTTTCAACAAACACTATACTACACATTACATGCTAGTGTTGCAATTTCCAATTTGAAAACCTTATTTAATACCCAGTATTGATTGTGCCCTACTTACTCTAAGTCAGACATTGTATTTGCCACTGGAGATAGAAGAAGCAAAATCAGTCTCACTTAGAGCTCTCATAGGCTTTATAAACCAGCAAAACAAAAAAAAAATACATATATACTATTACAGATTTTAAAGATTCTCAACCCAAGACTCAACACTATTTGATATACATGCTTCATGTAAAAATAATTTTCCTTGGCTGTGTTTATATGATTCTCATTAAGAATTATGTAATGAGCAGAGCTCATGCTTTGAAATGTTTACTATTACAATTTAATCTTTGTTACAAGATTTTGTTAAGAACCTACTGTCACCAGCAAGTATGTCAAACTTCTCTTTGATAAAAAAATTCAATTTCATTTAAACTAAAAAAAAAAAATGTGTACTAAAGATCACACACACATCATTTTCTACATGATATAGGAAATATTTCTCAATGATTAAGATTTTTTTATGTTTAATCACTGTAGGTATTTGATTTTCAAACAAACATAATTTTAAATTTATCATTTGTAAAACTGCAGTCTACATTTATATTTCTACCGGTGTAATTAATTATACCCTTTATAAGGCATCTGGACCATTTATTGCTCTGTGAAACCTGGTAAAAAATGAGTAAAATCGGGCGCCTGGGTGGCTCAGATGGTTAAGCGACTGCCTTTGGCTCAGGTCATGATCCCAGGGTCCTGGGATCGAGTCCCGCATCGGGCTCCGTGCTCCTTGGGAGCCTGCTTCTCCCTCTGCTTCTCTCTCTCTCTCTCTCTCCCTCTATCTCTCATGAATAAATAAATAAAATCTTTTAAAAAAAATGAGTAAAATCAAAAATGTTCTGAATTTTGTACTTGCTATATTTCTTTTAACTAGAAATTGCCTTGATTTTGCCAAGCTATGAATTAGGCTATGAAGTATGTCAGAAATTCAGGTAAGAGAAAGTGAGTTTTACACTTTGGGGCAGTTTGGAGGTCTTTGTATCCTCTAAGAATCAAGCTATTCTCTTCATGTCTTAAATTTTAGGCATGTTATTGTGTGCTTCTTCCGATTTTTCTCTGCATATCTTATTACTTATTTTTCACCTCCAAAATGAGCAAATTTCTGAGCCATTAGTCTCCTTAAAAATATTCAAAATAATATCTGAATTATGCTTCATCATCTTCAAGTCACTGAGCTTTCTGGAGTAATTTGTTCAAAGGTTTAACTGCAATATCAACCTGCTTGGGTATATTCTTCCAGAGTAGTGCTTAGCCCAACAACTGGAGCTAATTTCTCATTTATTTCACGGTACTTGTAAAACACAGCTGTGAGGTGCAATGGGCAGCTTCATTTGCTGCCCGGTACCCATTCCCCTTCTTCCTTGTAATAGGCACCTGAATCTCCTATGGGAAAACATTGCTTCCGCACTCCAGGCCATAGGGTTGGATGGAACCGACTTCATTCCCAGCAACAGAGGTAGATTCTGATTAACTTAAATTAATTGGCCTGTACCAATCAGTTGTCCATATACACTAGTCCAGGGACAAGCAAGTAACTCAGTAAGTGCTGGGAGCATAGGAAGCTTTCACTCATCTTCTAGCCTTGGTTGTGGGAGGATGTGAGACTCCTGCAATCTTAAGGGAAAACAGTCTGAGGATGATGCTAACAGATGGACGCCAAGAACACTGAGCCTGATACAATTAAATACAAAAGTTAGTCACCTGAACCCACAAATTCCTTTTCAAAAAGCCATTTAGAACTAAGTTTTCCAACACAAGCAACAAAAAGAAGGCCATATCTCAGTGATTAGCACATTTCATATCACAGTAAAACAAGGAATATACAAACCAAAGATACAGCAGATACATTTTTCCCCCAGAGAAACAGAACAATGGACCTAATACCTCAAATCTCTGATTGCTGACTTTCTTTCCTTTTTTGTTCCAGACAATTTTAGGTCTTGGGTCTCCTGTAGCTTGGCAAATGAAAGAGGCAACTCCGCCAGAGACCCCTGTCTGGTCAACGGGAGTTCTTGTAAACCTTGGAGGTGCTGAAATAAACAGAAATAAACATCACAATTAGATGGAAAATTGAAATACAGAGTATTACCCCACTGCCACCACTTTCCCCACAGCCCTCAACCCCATTGAGGCCAATACATACATATATATATGCACACACCAGGATTACAAAATTAGAAAAGCATCTTTTAATTTAAGAGTAGTTTAAAGGGGAGGGAGGTAACTTCCTGGTCAAGATACCTGCTAGTGCTTTTATTGCTGAAATCTGTATTAAGGCAGAGATCCAATAACATCCGAAAAGCAACATCACACATTAATTTTTATTACCAGTATAAAAAAAAAATCCAATTTGTCCTCTGTAACAAAATGAGCTCATCAATCAAAGTGAGTAAAATTTTAGCTCTTTGCTTTGATGCCATTATCAGGGCACTGCCAGAAAGCAGCTCTGCCACTGCTAAGCCATTAAAATTAGTGACATTTAAGAGAAATTCTAGGAAATTTTAAAGAGACAAGAAATACAGCCCTGAATTAGAAGGTTTGGCAAGAAACAGAAATACAGAAAAATGGTAAAGTGACTCCTTAACCTAAATATTGTGCTCTGCCTTACTTGAAACTTAACTTCATAATTTGCATAAAAGATGAGTCAAGAAGCCTCCAAAGTCATAGGGGGAAAAAAAAAGGAATTCCTGTTAAAAAAAAAAAAAAAGATGTAGACTTTAAGATTCCTAAAGATGAAAGGCTGGAAGTTAGAGGGTTTTTAAATGTTCTCTACTTCCTTAAAATGTTCCTAACATTCACCCTTTTTCTTCAAAACCTACTTATTATCCATCTTGCATTTCCAGATCTAGAAATCTATTATATGAGAATTAAATAAAATGAAGATGGGTATTTATGCACAAAGATATCTATTATGCCATTTATTTAGCAAAGATTATGTATACCCTAAATATGAAATAAAATTGGAATTGACAGTGAAATGAACTATGGCATGATGATAGAACATCAGTCAATGTTATATTGATAAAGTTTTTATAATATGACATGAGAAATACTTGTGATTCAATGATAAGCCACAAAAACATCATACACAATTCGATATGAGGGGTATCAGATAATAAAGAAAAATGCACCCCCCAAAAGATGAGACAAAATGTGCCAAAACACCAGTGGTGGTTTGGGGGAGAAGGTATATTCATTATTTTTCCTACTTCTTTACATTTTTCTCACATCCTTGAGTTTTTGCAGTTATGTTGCAATTAATTTTTTTTAATTCAAAAGCATCTTACTTTTCCATTTCATTTTCTTATTCCTATTACACATTTCCTCTCCTACTGTTTTTCAGTTAAATGCTATTGAAAAATGGTTTTAAGCAACTGTAGCTAACATTTATTTTGAAAATAATCCTTAGATTTTAAGAAAGAAGAAAATAACAAAGTTCATCACTGTTTGCTCATCACCATATTTTCTCTGCCTTGTTTTCATGTTTCCCACGTGATGCTCCTGCTGGCTTGATGGTGTGTTCTGACTCTGATCTTGGTTTTCCTGGAGTCAAGGAGGCCAGACTCACATCTCAGCTCTCCCATAATGTATATGTAGCATCTTGGAGAAAAAATGTCTCACTTTCCTGTTTCTGTTTTTTTTTTTTAAGATTTAATTTATTTATTTGAGAGAGTAAGCATGCCTGCGAGAGAGAGCACAAGGGTGGGGAGAAGCAGAGGGAGAAGAAGAGAGAGAATCTCAAGCAGTCTCCATGCTGAGTACAAAGCCTGACATGGAGCTCAATCTCATGACTCCGAGACCATGACCTGAGGTGAAATCAAGAATCAGATGCTTAACTGATTGAGCCAGCTAGGTGCTCCCTAACTTCCCTATTTCTTAACTGTAAAAATATGAAATGTAAAATAAATTATTTTTCAGAGATCCCTTCCAGTCAAGGTTTCTAGCTTAGTGTATCATCTCCACGATGAGAGAAAGAAAGAAGAGTAGGGAGAGGCATTTTTGCAATGTTAGTGCTGGAAAATGAGTCTCCACCTCATCAGCAAATTCAACTTGGTGATAGTAGAACTAGTGGGAATACAGGTCCCTCTTTGTTCAGCAATACTAGGAAAGAGAGCAGGCTCCCACAGCCCTGCTCTCTATCACATCCTACAACATCTCTTGGTAGCAGTACAAACTAGATGATTACCAGAACTGCTGGAAGTACTTAAAATGATTTGAAATGACTAACAGTGAGGAGAATAAAAAACACTGTACACTGATGTCACTTTTCTGGAAACAAACAAACAAAAATGATATTAGAAGTGTTTATGTTTTTCATTCTGCTGTTGCAAACAATGTAAATTGATAATAACCACACACTTGTCAGCATCTAATATGAAAATTATAATCATGCAATTAAAATTCTTAGGGAATTTCCCTGGAAAAATAAAATGTATTTCATTGCTATGTTAAATGCTACAATACTGTCATTTTTGGAACCTTCCTCTTCAAAGTACATAGTTTAAAAATTGTTGACCCTGAATGAAAATGAATTTTAACAACATGTTTTCTCCTTTAAGTTCCATTTTGAAATTTCTTGCAAGAATGTGTGAATGAGGTAAAGGGCTATGGTATAAAATGACTATGTACTAACCAGAAATTAAGTAAATCTAGAATATAGGATGTTATTCTTCTTGCACCTGGTTTTGTTTTGTTTGTTTTTTTAAGGGATAGCATCCTATTTCTCATCACACACACACACACAAAAAGAAGGAAATATGGAGATTCTGACACTCTACAAATAGGCAATGACTACTAGAACAAGTGCTTCCTAAATCTTGGTGAGTCGGGGCACTAAGGAGTCAAATTACTATTAAACATAGAAATCTGACTTCTAAATGGAAAGCACAGAAGGCAAATCCCCCCATGTTCTCAGGGAGGTGATGTGACTACCATTCCAATGTTCAGATGTGTTTCTCGCTTACCTTCCTTTTCTGTTCATACCTGAAGTCTTCATGCTAATATTCACAAATAATCAAATCTGCAGTATTATGACCACTGGATGTTGCTATAAAGATTTTTTTTTGGAGATGAGGTCAAGTAATGAAATTAACCTATTGAACTGTGGAAATTTTATTAAAATAACCAGTTAGAATCTGCTTCAGATCTGGGACTATTTTCTTAAATCCTACTAAATACAACTATAGTGACTCAGTATTCTTCAAAAAAAAGTACTGAAAATGGTCCTTAAATGTATTATTTGTAAACAAGAAATGAAATTGATCACACTACATTAAAAAAAAGGTATATCAAGTGTACATACACAGAGTTTTTTATTTTTTTTAATATGAAAGACATTAGTCTTCACAGACAAGAAAATCATGACTTTCTCATGGGATCTGATGTCAGTTTTTCTACATGTGCTCACAAAATCTAAACTGCAAAAGGATAAATGCCATCATTCTATGATACAAAGTTTAGTTTCTAGATGTGTAGTAAAATGCCTTCAGTGAGCATGACTGTTGCATAAATAATCATCTTGGCTGGTCAAGCTCTAAGACTGATGCTGTCAATGCAAGGCAGCCAGCCAAAGGAAAGAAATGAGAAAGAGAGAAAACCAAACTTAATAACTCCAACAAATGCTTGAGGCAAGTAAAAGTGTTTATTCTCAGAGGCGTATAATAAAACATAGCACCACTTTCTCCTCTCTAATATCTCAGCTTACTAAAAGAATCGAAATGAATCTTCTGCCTTCTTTTGTCATGGATATTACCCAAATTTAGGTCAGACTCTGAAGATAGGAAGAGAATCCACATAAAAGCATAAAACAAAGACTGCTACTAAAAAAACACACAATATGACAGCCTCAGGTCTGAATAATCAAAATCCCCATGTTTATCCCATGAGATACACTTGGAGATACACCAAATATTACACTTGGTCTAACAGAAAGAGAGAGAGAGAGAGAGAGAAATATCAAGAGCTTAAAGATGGAAAGACATTAAAACTTTACAGGCACCAGTACTTAGATAGGCACCGTTCTGTTATTACAGCTGACCGCCATTGCTATCCACCTAAAGCTGCCAGCCTTGCACTTTGCAAATACATTTCTAATCAAGCTGGTTTTGACAAGTGAGGAGTATGACCTTTCATTAAACTAATGCTGGGCACTACAGAGGTCAAATTACTGTTAGACCCAGAAAGTCTGTTTTCTAAATGGAAAACAGAAAAGCTAAACATGCATATGAGTCAGAACAGAAGCATGACTGATATTCTAGAACATGCCTGCCATGCTCACTTGCTGTTTTCAAAGACTATGCATTCTCAGGATACAGACACTAGCTCTGGGAATCTGGTAGATTATTCTTCCCTACACATCTCAAACTGCAGATGGATTTTTGCTTCTAAGAGGTTAGTTTGTTTCTTTAAATATAACCAATGCACAGTACCTTTGCATCTAATGATCGTAATATTTTGAAACCATATCAGGTTTCAAGTTGTTAGGCTCTCTGAAAACAAGGAGATAAGCCTAATGGACAGTTATTGTTATTAAATTAAGGGGACAGATCCTACCAAGACCACCAAGCTGCCTTTGACCATCCTTAACAAAGTGCTCTGTCAAGGACAAAATTCTCCCCTTAGTACACTATATTAGATAGAGCTAGACATTAATGGGGGAGAACCATTGAAATCTACTAGTAACATCCATGCAAGAAAGGAATTTATGAAAAATTCTTAAAGGTTAAGAAGACAACTCAGATTTGCAGTAACTTGATTGGCCAACTGAGAATCACTTAAAACCGATTCACAGAAAGGACTACACACTACAAAAGGGAAGGGAAGAAATGAGAGTGCCATTTGTCTAATTTAATTCTAATGAATAAGCCGCTTCTGCAGACATCAAGGAAATATGACAAATGAGGAACAAAACTAACAGCATGTAACTAATTGGCTTTGTTTCTTTCAGCTGATTAACATTTCCTTAAATAGAGAGTTCTGTTTTTAAAGGGGTATTTGTCATAATAATGTACTTAAAATCTTGAAAGGGGAA